TTTGAATACATTCAAACAAATACTCTCGCTTTGCATACATTTTAATGATCCCATACATGGCTGGAACACATGCACTGTTGTACTGGGATGGTGCACGGCCAACCGAAAACAGCAAGTACAACTGGTCGCTGATCGAGCTTTTCTTCAAAAATATGAGTCCACCGAGCACTGAAAATCCTGCAGCCTTGTGACTTAGGGTTGTCATGGCAGGCTTGGGCAGAAAAATATCTGGGACCACAACGTGGACTATTCAGGAGCATTTACATCAGTTTTCTTTATGTCTCTTTCTTGTTTTCTGTAAGTATTCTGGCAAATCCATTAGTTGCTCGAATACTACCCAAAAAGCAAATGTGTAGACTGTTCTAAGTAGTAGTAGTAGCAGTAGCAGTAATAATAGTGTCATTATCAACTTCTGCGCTGAAAAACCTGCTTCTGAAAACCCTGGTCAAATCTGTCGGGGGAGCCTCGTCTCACTCCTTGGACAAACTGCTACCCTCCGCATATTTGGTACAGGTACTGCGTTTATATGGTTTGTCCTCACTTGTAAAATCAGGTAGTCTCTTGTGGGAGCGGCATTGCTCATTCCCTGCCTGACGGCTGGGACCCACACGGGGTCTGGGGGATGTATCTGCAATCGGGGAGGAGTCGTAGGAGGGTGAAAATGATGGGTCGGGGTGGCTGCGGTCGCGGTGCCCTGCCTGAACGGTTCAAACAGAGCCTGGTTGTTAGGTGACGAGTGTCTGGCACCCTCAGAAAAAAGCTGAAGGCATCTCAGACTCTGCGTCCCGAATCCTCCACGGAGGCTCGGTCAGCCGCCCCTGGCGGTTTCCCCCGGCAGATCTCGGCGATGGGCAACTCATGTGCCTTGTCTCGGAGAGGAGAGGTAGGAAAACCCCCAGTGCTGCTGGCGCGGACTTGTCCCGGGGTGCAATTAACAGTCCAACTTTCCCTTTCCATGGGAAGGACTAGCTTAGTAAGTGCCGTTAAAGCTACCTGTAAATTGCTATCGGTTCTGTCTCTGTCCTTGAAAGAAAGATGATTTACGCTTCGGGAAACTGAATTCAAGCCTTGCTTCACCACTGCATGACTCCAGTTTAAACTGGCAAAGGGTTGCTGATGCAAAACTGGACCAGTACGTGCTAGTGGTGAATCAGGCTCTCAAAGGAAAAGACTTAATTTGAGTATTTTGGACCAAGTGATACAGCTGCTGTGTGACTCTACAAACAATGTGCGCTGGGTTGGGCCGGCCCCGGGATAATTTATGAACACTTTGTGTTGGCATAGTTATCAGGATGTTTATTGCATGAATATATCTTTTCATTTCAGTGTGAGGATGTTTGGAAAAAGTCAGGAAAATAGTGGTTCAGGACAGCCACCCTTGGCAAGCTCTGAGTGGCCATCAAGGGATGGGGCCGGGCAAAACAAAACCACCGGCCCAAGCCCTCTGCATGACATAGCCATCTTCCATTTCTCTTCTGTCTTGCTTTTTTTTCTTATTTACTCTCCATTGTGTCCTATTGCGGGCATTTATTTTCACTTTCAGACTTGTGTCTTTGTTCCATGAACTTTTTCCACCTACCTTAGTTTGTTCCAGGCTGGACTTGCCGGTGCCTGGCCCGGCGGCAGGGTGTTGCTTGCAAGGGGATTTCCTTCGGCGACTTTGCTGGCATTTTCATCTCTGCCTAAACTAACCCTTTATGTCGCTTTTCCAGTATCTCACATGAAATGGTTTTTCATTTGGTCGGGTTTCGATCACCGTTTTACAAACACCCTCTGCAGCCTGAGCCCTATAGCTTGTTCCCGCCAGCTCTGCGCATGTGTTTTCCTGGGAATACGGATTTTCTGGAATTGTTTGGCAGCATGGGGCTGGCAGGATGCAGCGGCAACCGGGGGCCGTGGCTGAATGCACAGGGGAGAGGGCCGGCACCGGGGGGGCTCCCGATGCCACATCCAGCCCATCCATACCCAGCACGGGAGGACGTGGGAGCTGAGCATTTCAAGGGCACCTGGAACAGCATTTTGAGACTATGTTTACTTATATACTCATGCTTGTTTATAGACCTTATCTTTTTTTCTGGTGTGTGCCCTGGGCAGACACCCAAAGGGTGACCCTGCACCCCCCCTGTGCCCAGGAGCCGCTTTGGGGTTGGCACGAGGGGAGGAGGGCGATGCTGAGATCTGCGCCGGGGCTGGATGAGCTTTCGGCTTAAGAGAAATACCTTTAAAACGAACACGTCGAAAACACCCTCTTTCCAAAGGGCTTCACTCGTCCGGGCGCAAGCCGTGAGGACTTTGGATGTTTCCAGCCTGCTGTGCTCGGCTGGGAGGCAGCAGGGCAGGGCCGGGGAGCGAGGGTGTGCAAGGGTGTGCAAGGGTGTGCAAGAGCGTGCAAGGGTTTCCTTGTCTGGAGCCCGCCTGGAGGCCTGGAAATCCCCGTGCAGCCCTGGCTGCCAGGCTCGGCAGGCTCTCGCAGGGATCCTTCACTGCCCTGCAGAGGTGCGTGCCGTTTGGCGAGGTTTGCTCCAATGCTAGGGGCACCTTAGATGCTCCAGGAGCACTTTATTACCAAAATGCTTCTGGTGGAGAAGCCTATATTCCCTTTTTTTAAAAAAAACAACAACAAAAGACTTATGTGCTGCTGCAGGCTTAGGCTGTTTTTTGTTATTTTTTTAATTTTATTTAATTTTATTTTTTTAATAGGCAGCTCTGCCAGCACCGCAGAGGCAGATCCTGACACGCCAACCGCGAGGGCTGCATTTGGCATTTTCCCTTCCTGAACTTGCCGGCAGCGCGCGGAGCTGCCCACGGCGTTTCCCACCGGCAGAGGACGGTGGGTGATGCCAGGGTGTCCCTGGGCGCTGGCAGTCCTCGCAGCCTGCCTATCCACAGGGTTAGGAAAAGGGAAATGGGAACAGCACTGGTGGCAGCGTCAACGGCAGCACATTCCCGCCCTTGCGTTCCCTGGATTCCCGTACGGCACCAGCCGGGAAGCCGATGGCGGTGCCAACCTATGGGGCCGGTGTGCCCGAGTCGGGGCACAACCTGCCCGTCCCCCGGCAGCGTGGACCCCCTGTCCCTGCCACTGCTCGCGGGTGTGAGGGCTGTGCCTAGATGCCCTGTGTGCGCAGAGGTGAGGTGTTTTTACTGTATATAATGACATATACCTATAGACACTCTGTATCTAGTATGTATATACCATGCCTCTAGTCTTTTCTAATATGTAATACCTAGTATGTCCGGTATATGAAGAGTATAGATATATTTATGAAGGTATGCTCTGTATATCTGTACCTATACTGAGAGAGCGTGTGTGTATGTGTG